GGCTCTGCGGCCTGCGGCACCCGGGCTCTCCTGGAGCTGGGGGCCGGCCTGCCCTTCTGTCCCCTCGACAAGCCTCAGAAGAGTAGTAGAGTCCAAACAGAACTGCTCCAGGGTGTGCAGTTATAGGGGGGTGAGCCTCCCACACTTTGTTCGGGAGATGGACTCAGCACTGCCCAGGGGCTTCTGAGCAGCTGCAGCTCCAGGGTCTGTGCCAGTCAATTCACAGAAATACTGTCAAAACAGATGCAAGTGTTTATGCCAACATGGATAGCTTCTGTGTTTTGTTTCAGTTTTGGACACTTGTGATGTGTAATTTCTCAAGACAATTACTGAAGGGATAAAATTCTGTCAGGATTTAACAACTTAAAGTGTCCTTTCACAGGAAAAAAAATGCTCTTGGAACTCGTTAGAGTTATGTTTTCTATTTGAACATTTAGTGCTTTAGCAATGTACACCAATAGTATATACAAATATTTAAAGTAGGATGGGAATAAATGTAAAGTGCTGATGCTTCCTACTTCAGGGCGGCTGTGATTTGATACAGTTCTTAAACACAAGGCAAAAGTGGTGTCTGGAGCGAGTGGAGAGTCCGTTCTTTATATCATGTTATGATTTATCTCATTGTAGGTGAACGAATTAAAAAACCAGTTCCTCTTCAAGAACAGACTGTTAAAGATGCAAAGGGACGATACCAGCGTTTCCATGGAGCATTTACTGGTGGTTTCTCTGCTGGTTACTTTAACACTGTTGGCACAAAGGAAGGTGAGATATTCTTCTGTCTTCTGGGAAGGGTTGACTGATTACCGTAATTTAATGTTAGTGAAAGCACATTGACTGTCACTAAGCTCTCTCTTCCCTCCACTTGCTCACTATTAATTGTGCTGTAAATAGGTAAAACAGTATTCTTGAAATTATTTCCCCTTTAGTTTTTGGACTGCAGTTTTATAGATGTTTCCATGATGTATCCCTAAGGTGTAAGGTTGAAATGTTTGAATTGTTTTCAGATATTATGCTGTGGTGTAAGTACCCTAACTAGACATTTACTTTCTTTAAAGGATGGGCTCCTTCAGCTTTTGTGTCATCACGGCAGAAGAGAGCAGACAGAACTATTCTTGGACCAGAAGACTTCATGGATGAGGAGGTGAATTTAGGAAGGAATACGAAACTTTTAGAAGTAGTTGCCATGACAGCAGATTATTCAGGCAAGGAGATCTAAAGAGCCTAAATAACTAAAGTAACTTTAAAATCACTTCTTGTCCTGTAGGATGTTTCACAGATTCACTTAGAAAGCTCCTGTAATCTCAATATTAAAAAAAACCCACAGAACTCCACCTTTTCTCTATCAGAAAATACAAAATACTTTGGAGTTCAGATATGGCATTCAAGTTACTGAAAAAGCAACTGTATAAACAGCTTGAAAAATTTGCCCAGTATGAGGGTCATAATCCTATTTTATTTCCTTTGACATTACTGTAAATAAGCATTTGAGGAAAACGTATTTGTAATCTAATTTTTTCCATTTTGTCTATATTTTTCCAGGATCTTAGTGAATTTGGGATAGCACCAAAAGATATTACAACCACAGATGATTTTGCATCCAAAGCTAAAGACAGAATAAAAGAGAAAGCTAGACAGATTGCAGGAGTAGTTGCTGCCATTCCAGGAACCAGCGCATTTGATGATTTAATAGGACCATCAAAGTAAGTGAATTTATATAGAAGTTAACTAAGGAATTCCTTTCACTTAAAAGTGTTATATTTGTTAGAAAAGTAATGTTTGACCACAGTAATCTATGAAAGAGACTGGAAGATCTGCGGTGTTAAATTTTCAGAGTGGACTCCACCTGGATTTTTATTTTACATTGATCCAGGCAAGCTGGGATGTAGCGTATATGCAAATGTTAATACATTCAGATTTGATTTTAAAGTGGGGTGTGAAAACTTAATTTCAAATGGTGTATATATTATTTAAGAACTATTAAAAATGTATGTGTATTGTTTTTGGTTTGGGTTGTGTTTTTTGGTTGATTGTTTTTGTTTGTTTTCGTCTTAGAATAACAGTTGGGGTTGAGCTGCTAAGAAAAATGGGCTGGAAAGAAGGACAAGGAATTGGACCGCGAGTCAAAAGAAAACCACGCAGGCAGAAACCTGGTAAGTTCAGCAAAGCTCCTGAACTCACAAATAGAAAGTTACCGTTCATCGACTGATTAGCAAGTTCATTTTAAAGCCTCCTTATATTTGGTCTGTTTCTTAGAGAAATATAATAAAGAACTGTAATTTAATATGATGCTATTATGTCTCTCACAGACCCTGCAGTGAAAGTGTACGGTTGTGCGTTGCCACCCGGACTATCTGAAGGTTCTGAGGTACTGAACGGGCATTAGCTGTTTGTTGACTTACCAAAGAATGTGTGCTAACATGCTTAAACTTATTTGATGTCTTTGCACAGTATCCTAACGTGGTTTCAAGGTTTTTAAAAAGTATTTATAAATATTTATTATGCTTATTGTGGAAAAGAAAAGTTTTAATGTAACTGAATTAATTCTTTTGCTACCTAAGCAGGTGTATTTCATACGTATTTTCATATGTAATTTAGGAAATGAAAACTTCCCCAGTCTTATGTTAATTAAATGTTGTAAAAACTCAGTAGACAAAACTTTCAGTCCTATTTCTGTGACATACATTTATTTTGTACAAGGATGAAGAAGATGAGTACCAGCCAGAGGATGTGACATTTGCACCAAAAGATATAATGCCTGTAGATTTGACTCCAAAAGAGAACGTCCATGGACTTGGCTATAAGGGTTTGGATCCCTCACAAGCTTTGTTCCATGCATCTGGAAGAGAACACCTGAATCTTTTCACAGGTGAATCGGAAGACACAAGCAATTTACTAGGGGATCTGAGACACAGTAAAGGAAGAAAACTAGGTATTACGGGTCAGGTAAGGACATAGAATCATAGAATGGCCTAGGCTGGAAGGGACCTTAGAGATCATCTGTTCCAGCCTCCCCGTTATGGGCAGGGACGCCACCTCTCGACTAGACGAGGCAACACATGGGGACCAAGCAGGAAATGAACCCACGACCTTGGTGTTGGTCATTGTTGCCAGCACCGCGCTCAAACCACATTTTTTAATGCATTTTATTACCAACAAAGTGAAATCTAAATAAAGTTTGTTTTTTTATTCTGTGGAAGGCATGTAGTTATTGTGGGATTATTGCAAGAAATCTTAAGTATAGTTTGAAAACAGGATTTTTCTTTTTTATTTAATACAAAGATGTGAGCAAATCCTTAGAACTCTTAAATGCCTTCACTTATTGATATTGTTAGAAAACTATAAGACGCCTCACTTTGAGTAGCTAGGTGGACAAAATGCTTGTGTTACTTTCATTAAAGTTGATAATCAGTATGTTTTTAGTTTACAGTTCTTGTCAATTTTACTTAATCTTTTCAGTAATGTTTAATCTCTCATCTAGAGAGGTTTTGGTTCCCTCCATGGTATTTGTACTTTTTATGTAGAAGTACTGTCAGTTTTTATTTCTGGGAATTATACTTGTTTAATTTTCATGCTAACTTGCTTTTTTTTCTCCCCTTCTCTTCCTCCCTCCTTTCTTTTGAGAACTTAAGCTGCTCTTAGTTAGACTGCAAATGCTACTTTGTGCAATTAGGCTGCTGTCCTCATCCTGTACAGACCAAACTCACTGTCCCTCCCTGCCAAGGGAGTGGCATGCGTTTGCTTTTGTGTTCAGTGAGGGTTTTTTTCTTTCACTAGTTGGTAGTACTTCTATTTCTGAAGGTGTACATTTTTCCCAGTATATACATAAATGTATGCTAGACATCATATAGAGTATACCTGGGTAGATATACACGCAGATATGGTCTGACATGTGACTTATAAGTATTATTTTTACACCTTTGAATTCTCATTTTTATTTAAAATGTATTTTAGGCTTTTGGTGTAGGAGCATTAGAGGAGGAAGATGACGATATTTATGCAACTGAAACACTGTCAAAATACGATACAGTTCTAAAAGATGAGGAACCTGGAGATGGCTTGTATGGCTGGACAGCGCCTAAGCAGTATAAATCCAAAAAAAGTAAGAACTGTAGCTCTATCTGAAGAGCTAGTGTAATTTGTATGTAGGTTAAAAAAATGACCTAAGTGTAGTCTCTGTTTTCCAAATATTTTAACTTTCCATCGCCTGGTATCTTCTAGCCCTGATATCTGAAACTTCATTTAGTCTTCCTTCTATATTGAAGTGTCCAAATCTGGAAAAAATTTCTAAAGTCCTTCACTAATCCCAGTGTAGATTAATCCCCCAAATTACATTTTAAGAAAGACAATATGTGTTGCTTTGTGAGATACAGCATTTAACTCTGCTGAAGGAGACAACTGTAAATCATGGCTACAAAATATGACCCAATAATTTTAAAGAGAATTATTTTTTTTACATATACTTATGTATTTTTCAAATAACATTTGTAAATATTATCTTGATACCACTTCATTTTTAGTGCAACTTCCAAGTGCATGAAGTCCTGTAGTGATTTCTAGAGTACCTGTTGATGTTGTACACAACAGCAGTCATGACATTAGCTACGAGCAGTAGGGATACTGTTGCCTCACTATTAGCCATGTTCATCTTACAGCAAACTCTCTGGTAGCAGTTTTTTAGCTGTATAATAGATTCAGAACGTTTAATTTGAAATGAAAGAGCCACAGTTATGCTTCATAAAATATACTGCAAAATGGAAAATGACTGGAGAAAGTGCTTTATTGCCAAACATGTTATGTTTTGAATATTGACCCCTCTATGGTCGTTTTGTAGGGTCTGAAGGAGAAGTTAAATATATAGGCAAAATCTTGGATGGTTTTTCCTTGGCATCAAAATCATCAACTCCAAGCAAGGTAAGCAGATGCTGATGTTATTCTTAATACAAAAGTATCAGTAACTTGACATGTAAGCTGTATGGACTTTACTGTCGCTCACTTTTTTATGTTCTTAGAAAGAAAAAGTTCTGTTTGGCAATAAAGATGCTGAATGAGCAAAGCTACAGCAGTGGTAACTACTCAATACAAACCTAAAATTTGTCACACTACTGGATGAATTTAAACTTACAAAAATGCACATACTCAGTTTTCTGTAAAAATCAGCCCCCATTCTTCATCTGCTTCACTGTTTTGGTGACAAGTTAATTTGTTAGCCCCGTTACCAGGTTTGTATCATTTATGCCATATGTATTTGCATAAATCAGAATGACAAACAGAATTGTGCAACATGGTCCTCTTTCTAATAAAGACAAAGGAAGAATATTTGCGTGGCATATAAAATTGCATTGCATAGGAGGCACAGGGATAACCTTTGAAGTAACAGCTTGAATGGAGAAAGCGGGGTGGAGGAGGACTTCGAAAGTCTTTAAAATACAAGTAAGCACAGAAGTACTCAATAAAAATTAAGCAATACCAAGAGCATTTTCTCAAATAAAAGCAATGTGTATCACAGCTCTTGTTAATTTTGCTGCGGCCTGATGTGCATGTTTTCCTACTTCTCATAATCGTTGAGTGTGAACACTCTAACAGTTTGTTCCCAAAGTTTGTATTACGATGCCACTTACCGACTGGGTCTAAAAGAATCAGTGACTTGTAATATCCTACTACTGCTGTGCTGTGAATTGAGGAGTTTTTAGACCGAGATGACTTTTTCCAAAACACGTTTGTAAGTGTTAAATACAAAGGTGGCTATCTCTCTTAGTGAATTTTTGTTTTGTTGTCCCCCTGCTAAGGTTTATCCACCACCTGACCTGCCACGAAATTACAGACCAGTCCACTACTTTCGACCTGTAATAGCAGTTGGGAGTGAAAACTCTTGTTTGCAGAAGGCATTGGAGGAATCGACTGGGAAACTTGAGAGTGATACGGCACAACAAGGCAGGCATGCTTTGAATGCATCTCAGAGGAGGGAACAACTCGGAGAGACTAGTTTAAAAGGTATTGATTGATAATATTTGATCACACTTTTGCATGTGTTCCAGGTCCCCTCTTTGTTTGTATAACAGTAAAAATTTGGTCTAGCCTGGAACACTTTTCTGACATAAAAATATTAGATCTAGTTGGATTAGCTAGAATATATTGTCATTACTCAGTTTTGTCTCAGATGAGCTATTGACATATCTGCCTTTTCATTTACTTAAATCTTTTAAAGATGCAAAGTATGTGTGGGATTGGGTTTTGTTGTGGGTGTGGTTTGGTTTTTTTAATTCAGAATGGATATAGTAGGCTGTGAGTTTTGAGGTTTTTTTCTTCTGTAAAATGAGGTTTCACTGCACTGCATGCAAGTTCACTACAAAGTTAACTTGTAAATGTGGTTCACATTCATATCTACAGTAGTAAAGTTTACAAAGTAATATGTCAATATATTGTGAATAGCATAAAGATGCAATAGTGACCAGTTTTTCATCTGCTATCTCTGCCATAATACTGTTTATTGATCCTTAAGAGCATTTTCTCTGAGTGTACAGGCATAGTGGTAGGCTTTTTTCCTCCACTAAAGGGGCAGAAATAGTTGTAGTAATTTTTCATTTCTATTTATCTCTTACTGCTTCTTTCTGGTTTTAGGTCCAGCTCCTTCTGTTTTAGAATATCTATCTGAGAAAGATAGAGAAAGACTCAAACAAGTGAAACAAGCATCTGAACAACAATTGAAAGCTAAAGTGTTACCTCAGCAGTCACAAAATAGCCGATTCCAGGAAGCCTCCCGAGATGATGCTTCTCACAAATGGCAAATGTTGTTGAGGGACCAGTTAGCAAATGCAGGTTCTAGTGACTTCAAACCATTTGCAAGAAATCCAGAAAAACAAAGAAGATATGAAAGTTTTGTGAAAAGTCTTAAACAGGGAGAAAAAGGTAACTGAAGAGACTAATCCTGATATTTTAATTTTCTTCTGGAAAAAAAATTGATTTTTTTTTTTTGGGTGTGTTTTTCTTTTCCCCCTTTTTCCTCATGTTGCATTCTATGTTCCCTAGGAGTTCCCTTCCTGAAGTCTATTGCTCTGTCTACTTCTTTTTAGGGCCAATATTGAAAGAAATTTTTACTGGTATGTAGGAAAACTGCTCAGTAATTTGTGTCAGCAAGGCTTGATTTTAGGCATTACATTCATATTTCTATGCTGTAGCAGAAGTGAAGTTGTCCAGGATATTCTACTTAATTGCCTGTATTTCTGGGTTTCTCTTCTTTCATTTGCTAAAGAAGGCAGCTTCGGTCAGTGCCGTAAACTGTACATGGAGCAACCATTTCCATTTAGTTTATTTCTCCATGAAGAGTAAGACTGACAATCCTAAAAAGGCAGAAAGATTACCATGTCACAGTAGGATGGCAGTTTGTTGCCTTTTCCCTATACGAGACTGTAAAAATCAAAAGCAACCCCATACCCTAAAGGACTCTAAAGTCTAATACCAAAAACCTGAACAAAATGGAAGGAGACTGGAACAACATGAAAAGAGCAGATGAAGGACATCAAGTTTTGGGTTTGAGCTCTGCACGCATGCTATGATTTTAGAGCCACAGGTGTTCTGAGAAGAACCTAAGTGACAGTCTGAGAATCTCAAGGACTTACAATAGAAGCTTTGGCAACGTGACCACTTCATTAGTTCGCATTCTCAAAGCTTGTATTTTCCCTGTATGAAATTGAGTATCTTCTTACAACTCTTAAGTGCCTCCTTAGACATAATGATGAAAATGCAGAAAATTTAAATAACTAGAATGATTGAGTTTTGGTTTTTAACAGTGTCTTTGCTTGACTGGTGTTATTTCTTACTCCTTCTGGGAGCAAATGTTTAAACAGTGTCTGCATTGTTTATAGGAACCTGTGTTCAAATTGTGTATTTATCAGTGGACACTTTATATACCAGAAAGCCCCTTGAAGTTACCAAATCCTGGCCAGGCTTATTCACTCATTCACTTTTTTTTGTGCTGTATTTTAGTTATTTGATAAAGGTTTGGATTGTACTTTTTGTTTTAAACATCTGATCTAGTCGAGAGGTGGCGTCCCTGGCGGCAGGGAGGCTGGATTAAAATGATCTCTAAGGTCTCTTCCAGCTTAGGCCATTCTATGATTCTATGGTTCTATGATTCTATGATCTGTGAAATACATTAAGTATTTTCAATATTCCTTAGAGGGCAAGGAGTAAGGAGCCAGCGTTTCAAGTAAAATTATTTAAAACACCTGTATTGCATTTAGGAAATGCTGTCGTTCTTGCTATCTTGAAAAACTACCTAGACTTATCGAGGAATAACACAGTTGAGATTAGTACTATCCTTGAACCATTAAAAACTTGCTAGGTGTTTGCTTATTATCTTATTTTTTGTTTGAAAAGTGTCAGACCTAAGTAAGCTCTAATGTCTGCTAAGCATTTCTCTCCTTACCCTACAGTAGATACATTGGAGCATTGTTCAGACCCAAGTATGACAGAATGGGAGCGAGGAAGAGAACAGGAGGAGTTCTTCCGTGCAGCAATGTTCTACAAATCCTCAAATTCTACACTGTCATCCAGGTTTACCCGGGCCAAATACGAAGATGATGTTGACAAAGTTGAAGTTCCTCGGGACCAAGAGGTACGTGTTGATTTGATTTTTTTAGTGTATTGGAGCTGTAGTTGTTTGCCTTAACCCTGATTTTCAAAAGTTTTTTTCCTTTAAAACTCTCTCGTATATATAATGTCAATGTTTTGTGGCCCTTCTGTTTAGCAAACTTTTGAAAACACTGAGTGCAGAGCAGTGATTTGTTAAACTACGTGTAAATATTTATGTTTCTGTCCTGTTCTTAAAGTGTTACAACAGTATTAGTCAATTCAGTAAGTTGTTCCTTATTTAGCAACTATAAATGTGTGACTTTTTCAGAATGATATTGATGATAAGGAAACTGCTGTGAAGATGAAGATGTTTGGCAAACTGACAAGAGACAAGTTTGAATGGCATCCTGAAAAGCTGTTGTGTAAAAGATTTAATGTTCCTGATCCATATCCTGAGTAAGATGATTGATACTGTTATTTTTAACACTTGTGAAAAATTCAGAGTTTCTCTTTTGCTTGTGGAAAATTTATTTGCATCATTAAAATTGGTGACCTCTGACAAAATAGTATGCATTTTAAGGTCTACTGTAGGTGTTTCATCTTGTTGTAGATAATTTGAGGCCTTTTCTGTGTAGAAAACAATAATCAACAAATGTTTTTATTTCTCTCTAGTTCTTCCATTGTTGGGTTACCAAAAGTGAAACGAGACAAATACTCTGTGTTTAATTTCTTAACTCTGCCTGAGTCCACCACACCTGTAACTCAAGCAACACATGAAAAAATCCAACAGAGTAACAATCCCAACAGTAAGTTTGTTGTTACTCTTTATTCATTTAGCTATGAATGAGATAATAGTATAGAAAAATTATGTATTTGTCATGGAGGACTTGTCCATGAAAAGAATGAAAAAGAGAAACTGAAAATTAGTTTGGTGACATAAAAACTGAAGTCAGTGATGATATGGTAATTTCTCCTACCTAGAAAGACCTTTGTAGATCAGATATTCACTAGGAATACCAAACTATACTGAAGAAGCAGAGTAATTTCAAGCCAGGTAGGCCATGAAATGCAGGATAATTTGGCATGCAACTGAGTTGAATGTTTGGGATTTTTTTAGAACCAAAGAAACCTTCAAGATGGGATGTGTCAGATAAAGAGAAGGAGAAGAAAGATTCTATCAGCGAATTCATTAGTCTCGCTAGATCAAAAGCTGATGTTCAGCAGCAGCCACCAGTGCCAGCAGCAGCAGCAGAACATGAAAGTGGACCAAGTGAAGGTCTTGCCACTGAGGTGAGTTTACAGCAATGTTTGAACTTCCAGGGGAATAGCTGTAAACCCTTCACAGCCTTGAAATAGGGGTGAGTAACATAAGAATTGGTTTAATACAGATGAGATTGCAGAAGAGCCAACTCAGGAGAAGCAAAGATGAGATAGTACTTTGAAGAATTTTGAGGTTATAATTCTGAGATGTCAAACGCTTACGGCATACAAGTACAGCAGATATTAAGAGAAGGAAAAATGTAGCTCAGCTGTTTGGGAGTCGAGTTCAGTCCCTTACAGCCACGTTGTTCACAGGCACATAATACAGTTGTGCTGCTTTCAGGGGAGGAGGGCACGTACTGTGGGGAGAAAGGCGATGTTTTCCTTTTGCTTAAATTTAGTAGCGTATAATTGAAGTTTTTGAATTAATAAATTAGAATTTATAGTATCTGGAGATCTGTTTTCAACTCTACGTAGCGCAAATTGCACTGTCCTTTACAGGGCACTCGCTCGGTTTAGCAGTGCATCGGAGTTTTACTATTTTGGACCAGCACTTCCTAAGACTGTATATTGCACAGTTACTGTGATTTTGGAGTGATTCTTAAATGTATGTCAGTATGTTTGAAGATTTACTTGTCAGAGAGAGATTGTTAAGTGTTCCTGTAGTTTGTTAACATAACAGTTTGTTATGATGCTGTTTCACAGGTAGCTAATGAAGAGAAGGATCAGGAAGAAGAAAGCAGACCATCCATGGACTTATTTAAGGCCATCTTTGTGAGTTCCTCAGATGAAAAATCATCTTCTGAAGAAGAAGAGAGTGATGAAGAAGAGCAACCAACTACTTCGGTAGTAGATTCAGAACCCACTAAACAAGTTGATCTACCAGGTGGTTCTTCATCTAATGTACAAGGTAGGACTTAATTGATGTTCAGTTCTCTGAATGGCTTGTAAAAGCTTTATTTATGACTCAAATACTCCAGGAGTGCTTGGACAGTGCTGTGTTCTTGTGCAGATCATCTGGCACTCGTGGAGCTGGGCATGTAGAAAATGTAAATAATCCAGTGCTGAATAAGGCCTTGCATTTTATAGTGTTATTTTTGCTGCCAAGTGTCTTGCATAGATTTTACAACAAACTGCCCAATGGAGTATAGTTGTTAAACAGTGAGGAGGGAACAAAATATCTAATGTTAGAGCATACTTCACTGAGAAATATAGGGAAACTTTTATACCTATGATAAATTTTAAGTAGATTGATAAATTATAACTATCATGTGGTGGTTATTTGACAAATTCAGAAATAAATAAGTGGCATTTCTTTTATAATTAAATTCACTATCTAAATACTGACATTCCAGTAAAACATAATTTTGAAATTTGACTGACATCACAAAGTTGCATTTCATTTGTATTCTAGTTATAAAAGTTACCAGAATACTTCCACAAGGGAGAGAGGGGACCAGTCTTTGGCTCCAGTTCTTAGGGAAGTTTAATAACTAAGCAGTAAAAAGTTCTCATACTTTCAGGATGTTGTTAAATTAACAAAATGTACAACATACTTAGCTTACAATGGAAATATTTTGTCCACTTACTATCACAGTTGGTTCTGTTAACATCTAACTTTTAGCATTTATTAACTTTATACATTTTGTGGAGTCATTTTTTCATTCTAAGTAATAGAAAAGTAGTACTGTGTTACTAAGTGAAAGCAAACACATGTACTGATACTGATTTATTTTGTAATTGTATAGTGTAAAAGGTCAATTTTGATTAAAAAGAAAAAACAAAACAGTATGTTGACATTTCAGAATGTCAGCTACTCAGTTGGCCAGAGCAGTCCACAGAGATGGAGGATGCTGATCAGTTTGCTTGCTTAGAGGGTTTTAGAAAGCATCCTTAAATTTTCCTCAGCATGTCTTGAAAAAAGTGTTTATTTTCCTCTCAAATAAAGAAGTTTTTGCTTTTTTCATAGAGAATGTGGCTGCTACAACAGATCCTGGTGTGTCTTTGTTGCCTACTGCAAAACAGGAACTGGATGCAGCAGAGGAATTTGGACCGAAGTTGCCTCCAGCTTTTTCTTCTGGTAGGTTCTGTAGACTTCTCATGTGTAAGTTGTGCGCATTGAAGTTCTGTGTAAGATGTGCTGTATTTCTCTTTAAAAAAACATTTGCAAATAGGCACTTACCTCTTATATGCCTGTTATCTCCAGCTGGCATCAGGGACTACTTTGTACCATGCTGTAATCCACTAGCAGGAGCCTCTTTGCATGTGTACCAATTTCGTTGTAGCTCTGTAGAGGTAATGATAAAAAATTATAGTGAAAATATAGGGCCAAGCTTGCTTTTTGTTTAAATAACAGATTTCAAAAGCATTTAATTACAGTAGAAAGGTTGCAGTTAGGAGTTTTAGACATCTAATTTCCATTTGAAAGCTTCGTTTGTTTTTGTTTTTGTTTTTTTTCTTTTTAAAGACCTATCCTATTAGATTAAAAGTAATATAGAATTTAATAATAAAATTAATCTTTTTTTTTGTATTTTGTTTGTTTATTTCTCCATTTGCTTTGCACTTTAGGCACTACTTGGCAACAAGAACCAGTGGCACCAGCAAGTTTTCCTGGGCCTAGTAGGAAGGAGAAACATAGGAAGAACAGAGAGAAACATAAGACTAAGAAAGAACACAAACACAAAAAGGAAAAGGTATTTAATGTAAATAAGCAGTTTATTGATTCTTTGATCTGCCAGTCAAAAAAAGTGTTACTTATGCTACATTGTAGAAAACAGATATACTGGGACTAGAACTTAAGCAACTGAGTTTTTCACATGTATTGAAACCTGAACTTCAGAGCAGAGAATTACCATAAGTATGTACAATTTTACTATAGATAAAATATTGCAACTAGTTTAATGTTGTATGCAGAAAATGTTAGGCATATTCTAGGCATATAATTAATTATTTCTATACAAATAGTAATAATGAAATTTCTTTTTGAGTGCTTGGGATTAAATGGGTGATTTTGGTATATATTTTTTACCACAGTCTGAGTAGTGGGGAGGAGTCGTTAAGTGTTCTGTTTTGGGTAGGCTTCAAGTCTACACCGAAATCAACTTCTTGCTGGTCTTGCCTTTCAGAAAACCCCAAGTCTTTCACAATGAAATAAGGGAATATTTCTCTTCTTTTTTTTTTTTACAGAAAAAGAAACATAAAAAACAGAAGAACAAAGGAAAACGCAAGAATAAAAAATCAGAAAAAGACAGCAGCTCAGACACTTCAGATAGTACTGACAGCCTTAGTGATATAGATACCACAGGACTGTCACCCAAAGAACTTCTGAGAAGGTAAATGGAAAGCTTACTCAATCACTTGAAAATTTTGCAGTGAATAACCAAAGCCTTAATTTGTAAGTTGTCATTGTGGTGAACCTCTTTGTGGCAAATACGGATCAGCCAGTCTCTTTAAGTATATAAAATAATGCTTGTTTCTTTTTAATGAAGTGTGGAAAGATTACAAATACTAGGCTTTTTAATCTAGAGGGTAAATAATTTTAGGAAAGAAGCCTCCTACAGTAAAGCACCCTTACATATACAACTCTGCTAGTTAATGGAGATGTTCGCTGAAGTTGACTGATATTTTTTGAAAGTTATTTTGAGTGGAAATTAAAAATTGAACAAGTGCAGGTGGTGATTCATATTTCCATTACTTTGTTTACTTCTCTGTACTTGGAGACTTTGGAAGCAACGTTGTCTGCTTCAGAATTTTTTGAGTCAGCTTCTATTTGTTCCTATTCAAATGGATTTCAGTGTGTGGCACTGATGTGTAAGGTAGTTCTGTACTTGAGCATGAAACTGAAGCAAGCAGAACAGTGCTTGAGTCATGTACGTGTCTGCTAAATTGTGACTGTGTTGTTATGTTTTATAAACTAGAGACTTGAACATAGTGCCAACAGAGATGTGAAAATTGACAATGATTCATTTTGCTTACAGACTTGAAGTACAAACAAAAGTAACTGTCTCTAGTTCAGACCATAGTCAACTTGAAGTGCATCCCATGTAGAAGAGTCACACGGAGGGCTTCTCTTTAGTGTCTCTTCCTAGCTGAAGGACAGATCTGAAAGTATTTGTTGAAATACCAGACCCACCTTGCCTAATGGCAGAATGGTTGGGGTCTAGGTGTTTGGTGGAATGGGCCTGTACCAGGGCAGAGGCTGGTATTCGAAAGGACTCTGCCTTTCATTCCTTTGGAATTGAGCTTCAGTTATGTATTGGTGTTTTCTTATTAAAAAACCAAACTATTTCTCCTTTGATTTCTAAGAAGATAAAATATGGTTTTATACACTTTGCACAAAGCATTTAGACTTCTTTGTACAAGCAGTTATTTTGGAAGTCTCTCTTTACATTGCTGAGAAAATGCTTTTTTATCTCACGTAACTCAGATCTCTCTCTTAAACTAAGGTTTAAGAAACTGCTCAAGTAATTAAATGTTCTTAATGTTGCGTGTTACTGCTCAGCCTGACTTATTTTTCTTTCTCCCTTTTAGATTAAAACAACTTCAGTATTGAAGAGGTAGCTTGCTTGCTTCAGTGCTGTGTGACTTGATCTCAAATTTTTGATCTCCTCCATGATGGTAGATCGATCGTGTATACTTAGAAGCACTCTACATACTGTATTCATATTGAATTTGTTTGAAAGTAAATGTGCATATGTTTATTTTGTGACGTGTCATATGTTCAAAAGGTATGGATTATGGAATGCTGAAAAGACCCCTTTCTGGGCATAATCTGAAATACTGCAGGCTCTGTTTTAATTAATATGAAGCAAGATATTTTAATAAATTTAAGCATTACGAATCATTTTTATTTGGTAAGTCATTGCCTAGGACCTCTAAAATGCTGGAGAGTAAGTTTCAGCCTCAGTGAAGATAGAATGTTAAAAACTAAAGCAATTAAAATTTGTATTGGGTGCAAATATTTTTAATGAGTCTAATGCAGAATTTCACATTGGAGTTTTGCAGTATCTGGCTGTGCTTGGAGTTATTTTTACATCTTCAAATTGTTTATAGCATTTACCATAGAAGATCTAAACCAATAAACTGCCATTTTGACACAAATTATTAAGGCTAATGTACTACAAGATCGCTACAGTAATTACTATCTGCCTGATTTTGAGTAGTTAGAATGAAAACTGTTTATACCACTTTTTTTTTAATGCAGTACATTTAAAAGGCAATTGTCGTCTCATAGAATTAATTTAATACACACTATGAAATAATACTGAACTGCTTTTTGAATAATCAGATTGTTAAAATAGACCCATGGAACTTTTCTTTCCAGGTGCACAGGGAAACCAAAAGAATATTCCTGCTTAAAACTATGAACAGAAGCCTTAACTGAAACTCACTGTTGTCAATACAGTTCTCCGGGCCCTGCTTTCATGTATTTTTCAGTATCCACAGCTTTCTGATACAATACTTGAGTGCTGACATGCGGATTTTGCGGATTTCACATGTAAAGTCCACAAGAAATCTTGAGTGATGGAAGGAGAAATAAGAAGTTGAGCCTTGAGGTTGCCTCCATTACTGGGAAAAATGAAACCCAACAGCTGCGTGGCATTCTGGTTGCTTGGAGTCTGTCCCCCGTTAAAGCTTCCAAGGCATTCCGGTGGGAGCAGCAGTGCAGCTGCAGTAGAACAAGCCAGTGTCCAGGCCCTTCTAGGGTGGTGGCCGGCAGCGGGGACCCCTGTGATGGCCGGGCAGTGAGAGGGGCTGCCCAGCCTTGGTGAGCGGGGAGGGCTGGGGCAGACCGGGCTCAATGCCTGGGATCGTCAGGGGCTGCTGAAAGCTGAGGCTTGAGAAGCTCTCTCTGTCACATAACGTGTGGTTAATGCTCGTGGCAGCTGGGTTTTTGTTAGCTCTGTGCACACAAATGCATGCTGACCAGTCATGAGCAAACTCCTAAGTGACCAAAGAACAGCCTTTTCAGAATATCTTTGACAAAAGTTGTAATGGTCTTGCTTAAAATGTGTGGGCAAAGAGCTTCGTGCACTGCCCTTTGATAGGCCAGAGTGAAGGAAAGAAGCGTTTAAAAAACTTGAGACACACTTAATGAGATTTAAATATTAATATTACCTTTCACAAGAGGAAGAAAAATTGGGAAACTAAAACAAACCAAACCTTCTTCCCCTCCAGAAGAATAAAAATAAAATCCACATCCATCAACCTTTCTCAACCAGATTTGGTAGTACCAAGGAGAGGATGTGAACTCTTTTTGGAGAAATGCAACTTCAAATACTCTCCTCTGGTTCTTGCTTTCATACTCCCCCTTGTGGAGGAAGCTGTCAAAAATAATTTCAAGGAAAACTATTTCTAAACTTTGCTGTGTTCCTTTGCAGATTCAATTTAAAATTCTGAGAGGGCACAGTGACACTGTGAGCTCCTGCCGTTTTTGCTTTGAAGGCACAAAAGCACTTTCATGCTCTTATGATGGAACAATGAAGCTCTGGCTATGTTATGAATGCAACTACAACCAAATAAAAAAAATCTTAAAGTTGAAATCAAACAAGGAATGTTATACAGGCATGAAGATTGACTGAATCATCAAGGAGCCTTCTGAAGATATTTTGCTGAAGTTTAAAAATAGCAACTGTAAATGTTGTTGCAGTCAGATAAGTAGTAAAACTATTTCATACTTTGAACACAGTCTTTGACATTAAAGGGTGACTTCTAAGTGTATGTAACATACACTGAGTCAGAGCTCTAGTTTATTAATATTTTAAAATGCATAAGTTGATACACAAAGCTCACTCTCTCCTGAGAGTTTCCTTTTCTGACTTGTTTACGTATGTGGCCATTTGTGGAGGAGAAGTAGAAATTAGGGATCACGCAGTTCTTATCAACATGGCCGTGGTGTTATCATACTTATGGCCTGCTTTTTCCTTTTATTTATTGTACCCTTCATTTTCTTGCTCCTCTTCAAGTTTTGTATAGTTACCTGGGGTTTCCCTAAAATTCCAGCCACCCTGGACAGCAAAATAGTAGGATCTGAACTGGGGAAGTGTACAGACTCTGGCTGATCAAATCTAAATTTACTCTAAAAGACAGCTTGGAGACATAGAGTTATGGGAGCCCTTGAATTTTATGCAGGCAAATGACAATGTAGCTGTGCTAAATAGATTGGAGGCATTAGGAGCTGGCATATATTAAACAGTCGTGACTCGATTCAAGAATTGGTAATGAGTTGTAGCAATGCTTTAATATGATATGAATACAGATGAAATAACCTTAAAAAGGATCAACAGTGTTGACTTCTAACCAATGCAGCACTAGGTTTTACCATAGTCAAAGCCTTTTTTCAGGTATACTAAAAAAGCCCCCAAAAGTGTAAAAAGTCCAGGCAGTTTTCAGGTTAACACCAGTATGTTATGCAAGAGGTGTCGATGCCTAGATCCAAGAAATCAGGAAATCTAGAATGAAAAAAGTTCCGTCTTTCAATGGTCAGTTCCGAAGTAAATAAACATGTGGATATCTGAAACTAATATTGTAGATAGGAGAAATAAGTATATCGGCATGTTAGTCGTGAAATTTACAGTTTAATTAACTGCCAGATTGACAGTTCCAAACTTTCCTGCTTTGTCTGAACTCAGAGCTGGACCCTGTATTTTTCGATCTTTGACAAAATTTTATTCTGCTGTCTTAATGTTAAGAAAACTGAAATCAGGACCCCAAACTAAGAAGATAATACATTGTTTGGGGGGTTTTAAGCGCAGTAGATCCATGAATATTCTTTTTTCCTGGAAAGGCTGCAATGTGCCACTTCCCTGAAGTATGGAAGGGTTAATTTGTCTAAAAAATTTTATCTGTATAGTTTTTATTTAAGACAGATTTATCCCACACTTGTTAAGGAGTGCTTATTTTTCAGAATTACCTAAAAGTATTTGCCTGAATATTGGGAATTTTGGGATAGCAACTTATAGCCAAGATTATATTAATTTATTTTTATAAGATTAGTTTTGTCTGGACAAGCCTAACTTCCTCCTCTGCAGGAATAGGTGAAGCAATTAGAATTCAGGAGAGTACGCAGGACTTGATCATGGGGGGCTAGGCCAGCCTGGCCCATTTCACTTTGGAGCTTGCTTTTTTTTTTTTTTTTCCCCTTTAGAAGTAGGTATGAAATGATTGAGTGGACTGAGAAAGCATTTGAAGTTCATCTTGAGAGGAGACAGTATCTCCCTGACAGTTCACACATCTTTTGGAAAACAAAGATTAATAGGGAGCACAGCAGACCAAGACTAGAAAGTAAGTCTAGAAGGGCAGTTGTGGCTGCAAGGCTTTCTGACTCAGAAAAATAGAACAAGAACACACAGTGACTTTGATCAATTTTTTTTTTCTTCAGTCTTAGAGAAATTTCTAATGATTTTAGTGTTGATTGTGAGGCCTGTAGTGCATTGACCTGGTTTGAGTTAAACAGAACCGATTCTGTTCAGTGATTTTTACTTCTCAGCTCAGTCTTTCCTAAAAGGCTGCACTGTCTGAAGTCAGCAGCATGTTTTTGCAGACAGTGTGTGCTACTGGCAGTGATAACACCTGATGTTACAGTCACTGCCTGGGATTGAGATGCAGAAAGGCTCTTGCTTATACTTAGTCCTAAAGTGACCAAGGCCACTGATGGATCTTTTGTGCCATGCTGGGGTGCCGAGAAGTAAAAATGGTCACAAGGAGGTAAAAGGCTGCACCTCCAGTGAGTAGCAGACAGGACTAGTGACCAATACGAGTATTCCATTCTATATATGTCATATTCAGTACAAAGCTGAGGGATTGCGAGGGTTTAGGCCTTTTTCTTCTTCAGTGGCCGACGCCCAAGGAGGACTTGTCCGATTTTCTGCCTTTGATCCTGAGTTCCTGAATCCAGCTCCTGCATCCAGGTCCCTGCTGCCGCAGATACTGGGGCTTCCCCAGTGCCGCCTGCTCTGCAGCATCAGTGGGGATTGCTACTGGGGGGGAAAAGCTGGGTTTTATACTGGTTTTGTGTATATGTATATAGTTCACTATTTTTATTATTTCCTCATTATTTCTATTATTGTCACATTAAAGCTGTTTTAATTTTCTTTTCTAATCCCTAAGTCTCTCTGCCTCATTCCCTTTTCCTTCCTGTTTGGGGAAGGAGAGGGGGTTAGAGAGCGTCTGTCAGAGTTCAGTGGCCAGCCCAGCCCTAACCCTCGACAGACATTCAGAAAATAAGTGAAAAATAAATTTACTTTCACTCCAGTTTTGTGTGTTATTGAGAGCTGCCAAGTTAGCAGGATAGCTCCTGCAAGTGAAAGTCCTTGTAAGGAAGCAGCTCTAGATCTTGACGGTTGATGTGAAACAGGGGAGTGGTAGTTAGAGGTGCAAGATTTTATTCTCGTAATGGTGATAACTGAAAGAATACAGACACAATGCAGGGAATTTATCTTGCTTGCTTCCAAACTGATTCTGAAACATCTTGATACTTGCAAAACAAAAATCTAATTGAAATAATTGGGTTAAGCATGGAAATAGAAGATTATTTACCTAGATGAAGGTATG